ATAAGATATTTATTATCTACAGCGTATACAGTATAGTAATAAAGCGATTACGAAAAATTTTTTTTATTATTTTTAAAAAATAATAATTAACCAATTATACAGTACTAGGGAAAAAGCATTTTTTCAAATTATATTATATTATATGATTTTCCATACCAAATTATTTTTATGATAATAATTATATATAACAATAATCAATAATAAATAAAAATATCATATTTTAAAATAATTTATTAAGTGAAATAAATTTATTTTTCATAAAAATTATTTATTATGCTATATATGCTATATTATCGTCAATCAATAAATATTTAATTAAAATTAACGATTCTTTTTTAAAAAAACCAAGTATTCGAACAATTGAATTCATATTTCTTATTTAAATCTTGTTAAATTGGACGGTTGATAACCACGGATAAAACTTGTTAATTATTTTACCTAATAATTAAATCTTGATTGCCGAGGAATGATGGCCCTTCGAATCAAGGCAAATTTTGATTTTTCCTGTTTTTATGTTTAATTACAACGTAATTTGATTAACATTCAAAATTTTCCTTTATCGGAATCAAAAATAATTGTGAGCAAATAGGTACTTTACATAATTACAGTAGTCACGTAAAATAGAATTAAATTTCTCTCGTATGCTTGACATTTCTTAAGTTATTACTTTTTTTAACCACGTTCACATTAAATGCTGCGTACGTATATAATAAATATTTATCATATCGAAATATTTAAGTAAATTTTATTTATATTTAACTTTTATATTTACATCATTTTAAATTTTTGGAAAGAGGTCAATAATTTGTTAAGGAAATAAAATAATAATTAAATGAAATTTGAATGAAATTCCAGCAAGTGCACGTGAGAAAAAAATTTAAAAAATGTCGTTAATCATTGTACGTGTATTTAATCTCGCGTTATAATTTTCGTGATCTTAGAGTTTAATAGTTTGGACACGCATCCCGGTGGTGAACAGCGTATTCACAGGCGGTTTCTCGGATAAGGGATGAACGATTGGTGGAAATTTTGATGCCACGGAACTAGGATGAAACAGTGCACGTTGGTTAGGTGATGTTCGGAAAAACTCGATACATTAATTGTCATAAATGATATAACTACCCATCATAAAGAAAGGACGAAGGCAAATCTAAAGAAGTAGATTTTTGTTTAATATGCGAATAGTAAAGTTGGTTCACGATCGCATAAGCAGCGTCAATATCCGTTCGATCCATGCTGACAATCGACTCAGTATCATTCGAATTTTGATGTATATTCTTCGCAAACACATCGTTCATACTTTCATCACTTGTAGTAGGATAGAGTGAGAAAGCCTTCGGATTCAAAAATCTTATGGGTGCTGGAACCGATGGTAGTTCAACATCGAAATTCTTGTGAATATTTGCAATATTTATACTTTCCTCCACTTGAAAGCTCTGATGACGACTTCCACTCCTATCATTTACCACGACAAATTTAATAATGAGCATATGTAGTATGGTAATAAAACGGCCATAATACGTGGGAAATATTTTTCTTGGAATCCAAAGTTTCACTGTGGCCATGCAGTCCCCACGATACTGACCCTCCTCGGGTTTTAAGTATTTAAATTCTTGACGCGGAACTATCGCTTCTGCTGATCGCTTCACCGATCTACAAGTTTCTTGGGTGTTGCACATAAATTTCATTAAAGTTCTGACGGATACCTCAATCCTTTCGAGATTTACACCAGGTACCATGAATCGAAGTCTCATGGGAATCGACACAAAGACACCGGTATTTATGTTCTTTCCGGGCGGCAAAATGAACGCGTAATTAACGCTATCAGATTCACCTTGGTACTGCATAGGTAAGTCTTTATCATTACTCAATACCATGGTGCGCTTAAGTGGACAAAGAATTTCTACGGTATGTGTGGGAGCGACCAAACCACCTTTGAGATGCACTATAGCACGTAATATATAAAAAACTGATCCTATCTTGGTGGTCAAGGTGTCTGGTAGGTTGTAAGGCAGTTTTATTTTAAATGGCACGTTGAAATTGAGAATCTCTCCTTCTTCCCTCGTTGGCGGTTCCCAAATCTTAAACGACTGGTTTATTACCACTTGTTCTCCTTTGAACGCTAACTTTGATCTACCCTGTGTTTTTGTCCACGACGTTTTCTCGTAGCCTCTTATATTCAGGTGAATATTTTTCACATTAACTGGTTTTTCATAATTCAAATGGAGGATTCCCATCAGGTAGCTATCCGTTCTGCCCAATGTTCCATGTTGGAACGTGTTGAAATAGGGCACATAGGAAAACGAGAGGTTTTTATGCACTTTGATGTAGGAACTTTGAGGTGGAATGGAATTTTGAACTTGGCCGTCTACAGGAGATTGCACCACGTACGGACTTGGTGGACCATCGTTTTTTATTGATCCATCGGTTACATCTTTTGTTATATAAACATTTGGTGGAGGTTTAATTTTTTGTGCGTCGGTTTCGACTTGCAGTTGCACTTTCATTTTTGCAAATAGTAATCCGTAAATTGGTTTGAAGGGCGAGGTGGGAAATTGGATTTTTACGCAAACACGTTCTTAAAATTCAATGCCATCAATATGTGTAGAAACGATGATAGCTGAGAGATTAGTCTTCGTCTTTTTTACAAAGTGTTTTCTCTCAAAGGATTGAAGCGAATTTCTTTAGAAATTTCAGTGATGTTTTGCGGATATTATCCGGTTTGAGGCTTTGAGCAAGTGACTTGCATTTTTTCAACCTGATTTGAATCTCGTTTATACAAGTCTCCTTCTTTTAATGAACATTCTCTCTATCACGCCAGAATTAATATGTAATCCTATTGTTATGTGTGGTTTACGTTCGAAACGGATAAATTCAAATTTGTGGCTCGG